CAGAAAACCCTGAATTTAACCTCACCAAAACATGAATTTAACCTCGCCAGGACCTTGATTTTAACCTCACCAAACCCTGGATTTAACCTCACCAAAACATGAATTTTAACCTCACCAAAACCTGAATTTCAGCTCACCAAAACATGAATTTTAACCCCACCAGGCCCTGAATCTAACCTCACCAAAACATGAATTTTACTCCCAGCAGCCCCTGGATTTCAGCTCACCAAAAGCTGAATTTAAGCTCAGTAAAAGCTGAATTTAAGCTCAGTAAAAGCTGAATTTAAGCTCAGTAAAAGCTGAATTTCAGCTCACCAAAAGCTGAATTTAAGCTCAGTAAAAGCTGAATTTCAGCTCACCAAAAGCTGAATTTAAGCTCAGTAAAGGCTGAATTTCAGCTCACCAAAAGCTGAATTTAAGCTCACCAAAAGCTGAATTTAAGCTCAGTAAAAGCTGATTTAAGCTCAGTAAAAGCTGATTTAAGCTCAGTAAAGGCTGATTTAAGCCCAGCAGCCCCGGGCTCAGCTCACCATGTAGAACTGCAGGCGGTAGTGCTTCTTCACCAGGCTCAGCACAAACATGCAGAACCCTGAGAGAGACAGGAGCAGAGTCAGAGCTGCCAACAGCCAGAACACAAATCCCTGCTGTGCTATCATAATTTCTTGTATTTTATGATATTTTATTAACATTTTATTGGGGGTAAAGGCTCACTGCTCTGCCAGCAGCACTGGGGCAGCTGCCTCAGGAAGATTTTGGGCTTTTCTCCTCATTTGAAAGATTTCCCACCACTGCCACAGGAAGATTTGTAACCTCCAGCACCCAGGGGAGCAGAGATTTCCTGCACTCAGGGCAGATTTCCCCCCTGCAGCCCAGCCAGGTGTGCCCAGGTGCCAGGTGTGCCCAGCCAGGTGTGCCCAGGTGTCAGGTGTGCCCAGGTGCCAGGTGTGCCCAGGTGCCAGGTGTGCCCAGCCAGGTGTGCCCACTGTCAGGTGCCCACCCAGCCCAGGTGTGCCCAGGTGCCAAGTACCAAGCCAGGTGAGCCCACCCCAGCCCAGGTGTGCCCACCCCAGCCCAGGTGTGTCCAGGTGCCCAGCCAGCCCAGGTGTGCCCAGCCCAGGTGTGCCAACTGCCAGGTACCCACCCAGCCCAGGTGCCAGGTGCCCAGCCAGGTGTGCCCAGGTGCCCAGCCCAGGTGTGCCCACCTGTCAGGTGCCCACCCCAGCCCAGGTGCCCACCCAGCCCAGGTGTGCCCACCCAGCCCAGGTGTGCCCACCTGTCAGGTAGAGGGCGAAGGAGATGAAGCGATGGTATTTGCTGAGGATCCGCAGCGGCTCCTCCCTCTGCACCAGCGTGAAGAAATAATCTGTCACTGTCTCCCCGTAGAAGAAATAATTCACACACAGCAGGAAATACCTGGGGAAGGGGGAATAATTTAATTTACACACAGCTGGGGCAAATAATTCACACACAGCAGGAAGTACCTGGCCAGGTGAGAGCCCAGGTGAGTACCCAGGTGGGTGCCCAGGTGAGTGGCCAGGGGTTACCCAGGTGAATGGCCAGGTGGGAGCCCAGGTGAATGAGTAGCCAGGTGAGTGAATGCCCAGGTGAGCAGCCAGGTGGATGCCCAAGTGGGTGAGTAGCCAGGTGAATGAGTGCCCAGTTAGGTGCCTAGCTGAGTGCCCAGGTGGGTGCCCAGGTGAGCAGCCCTCACTCACCAGCTGAGTGTCCTGAACCAGGGCAGGTCGTAGGAGTGGTACACGTTGTAGCCGATGGTGATGATCTCGTGGAAACATTTGATCTGCACACACATCACCTGCACAGGAAGGACAGCCAGGCATGAAACCCCCCTGGCCCAACACCTCTGCCCTCCAGGAGACAGGAGCAGGCACCTGCAGAGCCCCAGCCCTTCCAGCAGCTGCCACCAGCCCTGCAGGAGCCTCCCAATCCCACCTGATGTCATTTTTTCCTTCCAGTCCAACCTGGGAATCTCTTTTCCCTCCCAGTCCCACCTGGGATGCTCAGGATGGCATTTTCCCCTCCCAATCCCACTTTTCCCTCTCCATCCCACCTGGGATGTTGTTTTTCCCTCCCAATCCCACCTGGGATGTTGTTTCTCCCTCCCAATCCCACCTGGGATGTTGTTTCTCCCTCCCCTCTCCTCTGGACACACACCCTTGTGTGAGTTCCAAACCCTGGCCAGCAGATTCCCCCCAGGGTTTCCTCCACGGCAGAGGAATCCAGGATCTCTGACCACGAGGCCCTGGGCTCCCACCAACCTCCCCCTGCTGCAGGGAAGGTCAGGACCCCTCCCTGGAGCACTTAGTCCCACCTGGGATGCTCAGGATGGCATTTTCCCCTCCCAATCCCACTTTTCCCTCTCCATCCCACCTGGGATGTTGTTTTTCCCTCCCAATCCCACCTGGGATGTTGTTTCTCCCTCCCAATCCCACCTGGGATGTTGTTTCTCCCTCCCAATCCCACCTGGGATGTTGTTTCTCCCTCCCAATCCCACCTGGGATGTTGTTTCTCCCTCCCAATCCCACCTGGGATGTTGTTTCTCCCTCCCAATCCCACCTGGGATGTTGTTTCTCCCTCCCCTCCCCTCTGCACACACACCCTTGTGTGAGTTCCAAACCCTGGCCAGCAGATTCCCCCCAGGTTTCCTCCACGGCAGAGGAATCCAGGATCTCTGACCACGAGGCCCTGGGCTCCCACCAACCTCCCCCTGCTGCAGGGAAGGTCAGGACCCCTCCCTGGAGCACTTACTATTGTCATCAAGACCATGGGGCCCAGGTAGATGATGATGAAGAAGAAGGTGATCATTGCCAGCGTGAGGATGCCTCTCACCCACCAGTTCTTCCATCTGGGCCACAGAGAAGGAAAACATCAGAGAAAGACAAGGCAGAGCAAAGCAGCCAAACAAACTCTGCTCTCTGCGTGCCACAGGAAGGAAAGCGAGCCCTGCAAACCCCAAATTTCCTCTCGCTGCTGCACAGAGGCCTCGATGTGCTGATAGATAAAGGCCTGGCTGCAGCAGCTGCACCTCAGCCTCACTGCATGCAGAGCTGAGCACCTCCCAGGGCACTGAGATGGGCCAGGGCAGCCCGGGCTCCTGCTCTGCAGCTTTCCCACCCCTTGGACAGGATGAATTCCCCTAAAAAGGGGAGAATTCTCCCTCTCCACACTGCAGGAGCAGAGATGGCCCCTGGCTGTTGTACCCTCCCTGCTTTCCTGCTGGGAGCCTCTCCCACCCCCACAGCACACTCAGGAAGGTGACACCTCCTCCTGTGACACAAACATTTCCTCCCAAGCAGAGTGTGGAGAACATCCTCAGCTTGTTCCCAAATCCTGGCCTTACTGTGCAACTCCTCCAGCACTCCTGCAGAACCCAGGATTATCAGAGTTACAGCAGGGGCTGAAACCCCCCCAGCTCAAAGCTCTGCTGTCAAAGCCCCCCAGGAGCTCTGAGGGTCTGCCCCACCAGGCCTGGACCTGCTCTGTCCCCTCCCTCCCCATCCAAGCAGCACCCCTGAGTTTTACACCCCAACGTGCAAAGCAGGGGATTATTCCTGCCTGGGGCCAGCAGGATCAGCAGCTTCCCAAAGTGCTCAGAGGAAAAAGGAAAAGGGGAAAAAAAAAAGAAAGGGGAAGAGCACTTGTGCCTTCCTCACTCCCAGTGCTGGCCAAGAGGGGATGGAAGGAAAGCTCCAGGAGTGAGGAATCTGAGGGTGGGACTGAGCTGGGGATGGGAGAGAGGGGATGGGAGAGAGAGGGGATGGGGAGAGAGAGGGGATGGGAGAGAGAGAGAGGGGATGGGGAGAGAGAGAGGGGATGGGAGAGAGGGGATGGGCAGAGAAGCTGCTCCCCAGCTTCCAGCAGCCTCAGGATGGACAGAGCTCTGCCCAGGGAGTGATGGACAGGATGGATGGACAGGATGGACAGGATGGATGGACAGGATGGGGAGAGAGAGAGGATGGGGAGAGAGAGGGGATGGCAGAGAAGCTGCTCCCCAGCTTCCAGCAGCCTCAGGATGGAAAGAGCTCTGCAGGAGGGATGGACAGTGATGGACATGATGGATGGACAGAGCCCACTCAGGGAGTGTTTTTACCTCGAGGACAGGTTGGAGAGGGCCCTGTTCAGCACCTCTGGGGTGTCATCTGAGGTTGGCACTGGGGAGGACCCCCCGAACTCAGACTTGCTCTCGCTGTCTGACGCTGTCTCTCCATCCAGCCTGCTCTCAGACTCTGACTCCTGCAGCACAGAGAGAGCCAAGCAGCTTTAGCAGCCACCCTGGGCTGACTCCAACACTCACCAGCACTCTGCTTCTGCACCAGAGAGGGAGAAGAAGGAAATATCCTGGGTGTCACCAGGATGAGAAACATCCTGAGGTGTTTCAGTGGCATCCAGGAGGGGTCTGATGGTCCCTCAGCCTCAGCAGCAGGCACAGAACAGGGCCTGTTCCCCCTGCACAGCCACAGATGCCTCCAGGTTGATTAATGACCATCTCCAAGTGCTCCAGGGCTCGTTAGCAGGAAATTTTACAAGGTCCCAATCCCCAGGCAGGTCTCAGAGAATGTAGCACTGCCCAAATTAGCCAGGAAGAAAGGCCTCCAAGTGGGCAGGCTCAAGGCTTGCTGACAGACTTGTGAAGTGCTGGCTGCTTGAGGACACTAAAAATAACACTGAGCCCATCCTCAGGCAGCTGAGGAGGAAGAGCCTGGCTTATCACCCTGGGCCAGGCATCCCCTGTGGCCAGCAGGAAGCCCAGGTGCTGCAGAGGGACACACTGCTGTGCTTGCTCTGCCCCTGGACTGCTCCACACCCAGCCCTGAGCAAAGTCCTGTGCTTGGGGGTGAACAAACCCAGGAGGAGTGGGTTTGCCAGGGCTGGGAAGGGGATTTAGGTGAGTCCTGGCTTTTCCCAGGGGCACTTTTCCCTCTGACCCAGCCCCTGAGCAGAGACAAGCCCAGAGCTCCACAGTTTGCCCCTGATTTCAGCTCCATCCTGCTTCTGGAAGGAAGGAAGGAAAAGCCACTCCCTGGGGAGCATCCAGCAAGGCAGAGTCCATGCCCTTGGCCTCTGAAAAGTCCCTGAAAAGTGACTTTGCCAGCAGGAAAAGCACAGGGGGAGCTGAGCTGACAAATGCTGCCAGCTCTGCAAACAGTGAGGCTGCAGGGGATGAAGGCTCATTGTTTGCAGAGCTCCAAAACAACCAAATCTGCTGGGTGCAGCTCATGGTCCCTGCAGCTCAGGAAGGCTGGAGCTGCTCCCTTATTTAAAGCAGGAAAAGGTCATTATTCCCCCTGGAATAATTAATAAATTAATTTAATAAAGCTGGGACGTGTCAGTGGCTGCAGGGCAGGCTCTGAAATCAGACAAGGACAGGGATGCTCTGTCAGGTGGAGGCAGCTAAAAACACCTGGGTGATGCCAGAGATGATTGCCAGGGACGAGCAGAGCTCCAGGCAGCAGCACCCAGTGTCACCCAGTGTCACCCAGTGTCGCCTCCTCTCCATCAATGGGCAGGGAAGGTTTGGGTTTGGTTTCAGCCCCACTCCTCACAGGGCTTTGGGGAGCTGGAACTGAAATCCCACCTGGCTTTTCTCTCTGGGGTTTTTTAACTGACCCAAAAAACCCATTTGGACCTGAGATTTTGGAGAGCTCCAGCCAGCAGCACCCAGTGTCACCCCGTGTCACCCAGTGCCACCTCCTCCTCTCCATCCACCACTGGGCAGGGAGGGTTTGGGTTTGCCTTCAGCCCCTCACCTCTGCCAGCCCTCACAGGGCTTTGGCAGGATGGCACTGAAATCCCACCTGGCTTTTCTCTCTGTTAAAAAACTGACCCAGAAAACCCATTTGGACCTGAGATTTTGGAGATTTAGTGCCATTCAGCTGGGAACACAAATGCATAAGGCAGCAAAGAGACTGGAAATGCTCAAACTCCCTGGAGAGCACAGATTTGGCATCTCCCAGCACAGCACAGGGCAGGGTTTGGGCAATCTGGGCTCTGTATTTAGCTGCAGCCCCTGCTCCCATTGCAGTGGATTTCTGCAGAATTCCCCTGGGAACAATCAGAAATAGCTCCAGCCTGACCAAACTCAGCTTCTCCTCTGTCCAGGCCGAGCTCCAGATCCTCCAGCACGTTCCTCACACAGTCCCAGTGTCCCTGACCCCACACAGCTCCCCAGCCTGCTCAAAGCACCCAAGCAGGGAGGTTTTCCCTCCCACCCCCGAGTTTTACACCCCAAAGTGCAAAGCAGGATCAGCAGCTTCCCAAAGTGCTCTGAGGAAAAAGAAAAAGGAAAAAAAAAGGGAAAGAGCACCTGTGCCTTCCTCACTCCCAGTGCTGGCCAAGAGGGGATGGAAGGAAAGCTCCAGGAGTGAGGAATCTGAGGTGGAATCGAGCTGATGTCCTGATCCCTGGCACATCCTGATCCCTGCCCAGCCTGATCCCTGGCACACCCAGATCCCTGCCCAGCCTGATCCCTGGCATACCCAGATCCCTGCCCAGCCTGATCCCTGGCATACCCAGATCCCTGCCCAGCCTGATCCCTGGCACAGCCTCATCCCTGGCACAGCCTCATCCCTGGCACAGCCTCATCCCTGGCACATCCTGATCCCTGCCCAGCCTCATCCCTGGCACATCCTGATCCCTGGCACAGCCTGATCCCTGGCACAGCCTCATCCCTGGCACAGCCTCATCCCTGGCACAGCCTCATCCCTGGCACAGCCTCATCCCTGCCCAGCCTCATCCCTGGCACAGCCTCATCCCTTCCAAAGCCAGATCCCTCCTCAGATCCCCTGAAGTGGGAACGAGCTCTTCCCCTCCCCAGATCCCCCTGAATCCCTGGGATTTTATAGGACATTGTGCCACATATAGCCTAGGACTGGGTAATTTACTCTATTTTTATACCTTTTATGCAAATTGCCCACATCAGCCTCCAAATCATCAGCTGAAGCAGCTGAGTGGGTGCTAAATAACTAATTTATTATATAAACTATATGATATATATTATAAAAATTATATAAATGTATATACAAATATAATATAATATTTGTATATAAACTATATAGCAATAAATATTAAATATATATTATATAAATATAAAAATACAAATACATGTAACTAAATATAAATATATTAAATATATTTTTATATGGAATTAGATGTAAATTATATATTAGTGGGTGCTAAATAACGTGTTTGAGCCTGAGCTGATGCACCCTGGGGTGAAGGCAGCTTGGGGACACCTCCCCTGCAGGGTCACCACCCCAGGGCCCTGCCCCCACAGGCAGGGGGGGTTTAACCAATATTGGATTATTTTGTTGGTTCTGTCTAACCCTGCAGGTGAGCCCAGGGCTCCTCCTCACATTTATCATCTCAGGACCGAAGGCTCCTCGCAGAATAATGGCAAAAGGAATGCAGGAATAGAACCAAGGTGGGAATTTCTCCCAATTCCCTGATTTCTGCACAAGGCATGATGAGGAGAAGGAGGAAAAACCCAAATCTCTGCCAGGGCTGCCTCTCCTGTGAAGCAGAGCTGGGAAAATCCAGATTCCTGCTCACTTTTCCTTTTTCCTCTCCATGAAACCCACAGCTCTGAGCAACGTTTGTCAACAGATATTTCACCCCCCTGAAGGAAAGATACACAGGAAACTGAGTTTGTTTGAGCTCTCTTTAAACAACTCCACTCCAGGAGGGTGGGGAGACATTTCTGCTCACCCTCAGCTGGTTTTTTTTCCACACAAACATCCACGCCACGATCCCAGTTGCCATAGAAACGAGCCTGCTCTCTCCCTGCCAAAAATCCTCTGCCCAGCACAGACACCCAGTTAAGCACCCAGGGCTGGCAGATGAAATTAGCCCCAGAAATGCCATTATTTAGGAGCTCTCCTTGCAGCCAGGCACTGTTTTATTTAGATTTCCTGCCCGGTTTTAACAAAAAGCTGTGACAGAAAATGCTAGAAGATAAATGCTGGGTTTTTTCAGGAAAATCCAGCAAAACCCCCTGGATTTCCACACAGAAATCAGGAGTTCCCTGAGCAGAGCAAACAGATGTTGCCTCATTCCCTCAGACAGAGCAGTTTTAACAAAAACCAATTTTAAACCCAGCATCTCCCGGGGCAGAGAAACCAACCCTGAGCTCTGCCCAAACAGAAAAGTGGCAAGGAGCCCAAAATCCTGGTGTTTACATCCTGCTGGGAGCCTCTTCTGCCAGCACACGGCTCTTTCCAGAAGCCTCCAGGGTTCCTGTCACAGAAAACACGCCGGCAGGGCTCCCAGGGTGACACAGCAGCCACGGCAGCGTCCCCTCCCCACACACCTGAGCTCCTGTGCTGCCAGCCTGGCACCGTCACACCTGCTGGAAAATCACCAGGATTTCTCTCCTGGGAAGCTGAGAAGCCTCAGAGAAAAAAAGGAAAATGATTTTATCTCATTTGTTTCTCCTGTGTTTTGGAATGTGGAGATTGTTTCGTTGGTTTCGTCTAAATTGTTTTGACTTGATGACCAATCACAGTCAGGCTGTGTCGAGGCTCTGGAAAGAGTCATGAGTTTTTCATTATTATATTTTTAGCCTTCTGTCTGTGTTCTTCCTGTATTCTTTAGTATAATATTCTTTATATAATATAGTACCTTAAAATAATAAATTAGCCTTCTGAGAACATGGAGTCAGATTCACCATATGTGATGGATGTTGGGGGTCTCTGAAAACACCACAAGCCAGGCTTTTCCAGCACCAAAACCACAAGTGCAGCACGCCAGGGCAGGAAATGCAACCCTGCAGCAGGGAAAGAGCACACCGAGGCTTTCAGCAGGGAGCAGCTGCCAGGTAACCTCCCTGCAGCTGCACTTGGCAATTTTGGGAAATTCTCTGCTGCTTCTGTGATGAAACATCACATTCAGCACCTCGGGGGAGCTGTTGCTGGCTGCCTGGGAACATTTCTCTGCTTTTTTTTTCCTCCTCCTGCGACTCAGTTTGAGCTGTTTTACGAGGAGCAGCACAACAGGAAGGTTCCCTCTCTCTAGTAAGGACACTCCAGGTCAGCAGCTCGAAGGAAATACCAGAGGAGTCCTTCAGAAGGCTGACTGCACGTGAAAACAGGGTGTGGAGGTGACAGGATTGTCCCCTGACCTCCTTTAGGGACACAGGATTGCACTGTGACCTCCTTTAGGGACACATGATTGCCTTGTGACCTTCTTTAAGGACACAGGATTGCACTCTGACCTCCTTTAGGGTCATAGGACTGACTCCTGACCTTCTTTAGGGTCACAGGATTGCACTCTGACCTCCTTCAGGGTCACAGAATTGTCCTCTGACCTCCTTTAGGGACACAGGAGTGTCTTGTGACTTCTTTAGGGACACAGGATTGTCCTCTGACCTCCTTCAGGGTCACAGAATTGTCCTCTGACCTCCTTCAGGGTCACAGAATTGTCCTCTGACCTCCTTTAGGGACACAGGAGTGTCTTGTGACTTCTTTAGGGACACAGGATTGTCCCCTGACCATCTTTAGGGACACAGGATTGTCCCCTGACCATCTTTAGGGACACAGGATTGCCCTCTGACCTTCTTTAGCCAATCCCAGCTTGGCCCAGCCCGTTTGCTACGCAGCAGCCCTGCCAGTCCTCCAACTCCCACCACAAAAAAAAAAAAGGAATATAAACCTCCCTGAAGGTTTTCTGCTGCCCAGCAAATTCCAGCTGAGATGAACACACCTCAAGGTCTCACCCTCTGCACAGCTGGAGCCATCTCAGAGCTCCTTCCCCAGAGGCAGAGAGCTCCAGAGCCACCCCAGGGTGACCAATTCCCAGCACTTCTGTCCCTGAGCACACCAGCACCACAAAGTTCCCTCAAACCTGCCCACACAGCCTCCAGCAGGTGTTTAACTGGCATTAACATCGCCCTAAAACCACATTAAAATTGCATTTAAATTGCAGAAGAGCTCTGCCTGGTGATTTTGTGCTGCTCAGAGCTGCAGCCTCCGTGCACTAATGGAGAAAACATCAATTAGCTGCTGCTGGGGGCTGATGGGCCAGTCCCAGCACAGCCAGCACTGCTCCTCCCTGCAGCTTCTGCTTCCTGTCAGCCTGCAAATGTTATTTACCAAGTTCCCCTGACTGCTTATTCCTCCTGGTCCCCTCCTCTTTGGGGAGGTGCAGCAGCAGAGGTGACAAAGGTGACAGATGACTAACAGAGCAGCCCTGAGCATCCAGGCTCGGGGCTGGAGCAGAGGGATGGCACAGGGAAACGAGCCAGGTTTGCTCCCCGTGCCTCTCCTGACATGAAAATGAAACTTTTCCCTTGGCAGAAAGGCAATGCCAACCCTCACTAAACCAGGCAATTCCCTGGGGATGGCTTGGGAGGCACCAAACCCTTCCCTAAGGCAGCCTGAGGGGTTTGGAACCCCAGCTCCTGCCCTAGGGATGATTTAGGAGGTGCCAAACCCTTCCCTAAGGTTTCCTAAGGTTTGGAACCCCCCTGTCATTCCCTAGGGATGATTTAGGACTTCCCAAACTCTTCCCTAAAGGCAGGTTTAGAACTTCCCTGCTATTCCTTAGGGATGATTTAGGAGGTCCCAAACCCTTCCTAAAGGCAAGTTTGGACCCCCCTGTTATACCCTGAGGATGATTTAGGGGTCCCAAGGCAGGTTTGTAACCCCCCTGTCACTCCCTGGGGATGGTTTAGGGGTCCCAAGGCAGGTTTGTAACCCCCCTGTCACTCCCTGGGGATGGTTTAGGGGTCCCAAGGCAGGTTTGTAACCCCCCTGTCACTCCCGGGGGGTGGTTTAGGGGTCCCAAGGCAGGTTTGTAACCCCCCTGTCACTCCCGGGGGGTGGTTTAGGGGTCCCAAGGCAGGTTTGTAACCCCCCTGTCACTCCCTGGGGATGGTTTAGGGGTCCCAAGGCAGGTTTGTAACCCCCCTGTCACTCCCTGGGGATGGTTTAGGGGTCCCAAGGCAGGTTTGTAACGCCCCCCTCACTCCCTGGGGATGGTTTGGGGGTCCCAAGGCAGGTTTGTAACCCCCCTGTCACTTCCTAGGGATGGTTTGGGGGTCCCTAAGGGCAGGTTTGTAACGCCCCATCACTCCCTGGGGATGGTTTAGGGGGTCCCAAGGCAGTTCGAACCCCCCTGTCACTCCCTGGGGATGGTTTAGGGGTCCCAAGGCAGGTTTGTAACGCCCCATCACTCCCTGGGGATGGTTTGGGGGTCCCTAAGGGCCGGTCTGGAGGCCCCGGGCCGGCCGGGCGGGCCCCGCGCTGTCCCCGCAGCCATCCCCACACGCACTCCACGCCCAGCCCTCCTCGCCCCGGGGCCGCTCCTCCAAACACCCCCGGGGGCGGCATCCGCTCCCCCAGGGCGAATAAACCGAGCCCGGGCCGAGCTCCCCGAGCGCGGGGCAGCCCCGGGCCCTCACAGCGGCCTCACCGCGGGCCGCCGGGACCCCGCGGCGCGCAGGCCCGGCGCCGCCCGGTTCCCCCCGCCCCCTGACACCCCCGGTGTCCCCCGCCCGCTGACGCCCCCCGGGGCCGTTCCTTACCTTGTCCTGGGGGTCCCGGGCCCCGCCGGGGCCGCGCCCGGCCCTCAGCCGCGCCTCGCTCATGCCGGACCCGCGCCCGCCGCGCCGCCGCCGCCAGGGGGAGACACCGCACCGGCAGAACGGCCGCCGGCCAATAGTGCGGAGGGGGCGGGGCTGGAGAGTGAGGGGGGGTGGTCACGCTGTGGCGTTGGCCAATGGGAGGCGTGGGATGGGCGAGGGGCGGGGCTTAGGGAGAGGCATGGCGGCGCCCAGGTGTACCCGGATGGTGCGGGGCGCCATGATGTGTGGCGCGAGAGAGCGGGCGGGAAGGGCCCCGGGCGCTGGGAGAAGCGTGAGGGGTTTGTCTTTAGGGACAGGCGGGTTTGTGTTATGGCCGGTTTTCGGTCAGCACACGGGGCCTGAGGAGAGGCGCGCCACCGAGCCTTCCGTACGGCCGGGCCCCGTGTGTGGCACCGGCGGCGCTGCAGGGACCGGGCCCTGCCGCCATCGCTGCGCAGCGAGGCGGGACGCGGGGGGGGCCTGTGCGATCCGCGCGGTGATTGGATCCCGCGGGGTTAAGAGGAAGAGCAGCGCTGGGATTGGCCGGAGCGCGGCGGGGATCTGCATGTGAGCTCGGAGGGGGTTGGGCTGAAGGAGAGCGGCGCTACTGATTGGCTGCTGCGAGGCGGTGGGCGGGGCGACAGAGTGCATAAAAGGGTCGTGGCGGGCCGCCTCGCTGTAGTTCCGTTGTTGTGCCTTGAGTTCCGTGTGTGCCGCTCCCGCTGGTGCTGCCAAGATGTTCGAGGCGCGGCTGGTGCAGGGCTCGGTGCTCAAGCGAGTGCTGGAGGCTCTCAAGGACCTCATCACCGAGGCCTGCTGGGACCTGGGCTCGGGCGGCATCAGCCTGCAGAGCATGGACTCCTCGCACGTCTCGCTGGTGCAGCTCACGCTGCGATCGGAGGGCTTCGACACCTACCGCTGCGACCGCAACATCGCCATGGGCGTCAACCTGTCCAGGTCAGCCCGCGGCGGGCTCTCGTGGGGCGCTGCCGTGGGGCGGCCGAGCAGGCCCGGGGGGCTGTGGCGCTCAGGGCAGCGGGGGCTGCCGGGGAAGGGGCTGTGAGGGGAGATCTGGGGGCGAGGGGGTGCTCCGGAGGTGTGGGGGGTCCCCGGCGGCGCTCGGAGCCCCCTCAGCCCTTCTCTTCCCTCCCCACCCCCCCATTCCCCTCACGGCTCTCGCGCCGTTTTTCGCGGCGCGCGTCGAGGCCGTGACGTCACTGCCGGCGCCAAGTGGCGGGAAAAGGCAGCGCTGTGGGGGGGGAGCGGCCGCCATGGCCCCTGGGGGGGAACGGGGACAGCTTTAAAGCCCTGCCGCTTTCGAGAAAGGACCCACAGAGTCCTGGGCAGCGGCAGGATGGGCGCTGCCAGCGGGTCCGGGTGGTGGGCCTTCCTGCCCCGCTGTGAGGCGCTTCTGGAGTGCTGCAGCAGAGGAGGGACACGGAGCTCCCGCAGCGGGTCCAGCGGAGAGGGACAAAGATGAGGGGCCTGGAGCATGTCCCTTATGAGGAAAGGCTGAGGAGACTGCTGAGAGAGGGAAATCGTCCCTGTGTGTAAATGTCCACGGGAGGGGTCAGGATGGGTCCAGGATCTGCCCAGCCGTGGGACAGGAGGAGCAGGCAGGAGCTGAGGCACGGGAGGTTCCACCCTGTGTATGTGGAAGAACTTTGTGGGTGACCAAGCACTGCAAGAGAGCCAGAGAGGCTGGGGAGTCTCCTCATACACTTTTTCAGGAGTGTTAGAAGGAGACCTGATCACTGTACTGTCACATCCCCTCCTGCTCTGCCAGCTCCCAGCCCCGTGAGTCACCTGCCTTTCTCCCCTGCAGCATGTCCAAGATCCTGAAATGTGCAGGGAACGAGGACATCATCACCCTGCGGGCCGAGGACAACGCTGACACCTTGGCCCTGGTGTTCGAGGCACCCAGTGAGTTGGGTTTTGGAAGTGCTTTGTTGCTGGGATGTGTTCAGGCAGCTTCAGAAACCACAGGGATGCAGGAGGGAGGGAAGTGGCAGTGGGTCCTGCAGGAGTGGGAGGGACACCTGATTCTTGGAACAGTCTGGAGCTTGAAACTTGATCAGGTTGATAAATATTTTCTTTGTGAGAGGAGGGCTCTTTCAGGCTGCACACAGATGGTTTTGGTTTTATCCTTAGAGCCTGTAAAAGGCTGCCAGGGCATTCCCAGAGTCCCAGCCCTAAGGGAACAGAGGGAAATCTTACTGCCAGGATTGAGGAGGTTCTGCCTGGGGGGAGTGGGGAGTGCCAGCAGTGCAGCTGACATCTGTCACTCTGCCATTTGGTGTCACTGAGCTTTGCCTCCCCAGACCAGGAGAAGGTTTCTGATTACGAGATGAAGCTGATGGATCTCGACGTGGAGCAGCTGGGAATCCCAGTAAGTAACAGCCTGGGTGACTGGTGGCACTGGTGTGGAGCTGGGCTCACATCAGATCCTGGAACACAACGGCCTTGGGAGCGCTGGGCAGGCCTGGGGCTGGCAGGGTGGCACTGTGGGTGTCACTGGGAGTGCCCAGGGCTGGCAGGGTGGCACTGTGGGTGTCACTGGGAGTGCCCAAGGGGTGGCACAGTGACACTAGGAGTGACACAGCCCTAGCAGGGTGTCATCCTGGGTGCCCCAACTCTGGCAAGCTGTCCCTGTGGGTGTCACTGCAGATCCCCCAGCCCTGGCACAGTGTCACTGTGAGTGCCCTGGGGCTGGCAGGCTGTCCCTGTGGCTGTCCCTGGCAGTGCCCAGCCCTGGCAGGCTGTCCCTGTGGCTGTCCCTGTGTGCCCAGCCCTGGCTGGCTGTCCCTGTGGGTGCCCAGCCCTGGCTGGCTGTCCCTGTGGCTGTCCCTGTGTGCCCAGCCCTGGCAGGCTGTCCCTGTCCCCCAGGAGCAGGAGTACAGCTGCGTGGTGAAGATGCCCTCGGCCGAGTTTGCGCGCATCTGCCGGGACCTGAGCCACATCGGCGACGCCGTGGTCATCTCCTGCGCCAAGGACGGCGTCAAGTTCTCTGCCAACGGCGAGCTGGGCAACGGCAACATCAAACTGTCCCAGACCAGCAACGTGGACAAGGAGGAGGAGGCTGTGAGTGGGGGATGCCTGCAGAGCCGGCTGTGCCCTGTGGGGATCCTGGAATTGGGGAAGGGTTTGGGCTGGAAGGGCACTGAGTGCCAGCCCTGCAGTGAGCAGGGACAGGGCCGTGTGTCCTTCTGGGTCCCCTGATGCAGGGCTCACCTGCAAAGCCAGTTCTCTGCCCTGGTGGGGATCCTGGAATTGGGGAAGGGTTTGGGCTGGAAGGGCACTGAGTGCCAGCCCTGCAGGGACAGGGCCGTGTGTCCCTCTGGGTCCCCTGATGAATCCGGCCCCTCTGGAGCCCCTGAGTCCCTCCGGTGCTGCCCTGGGAGCTGCAGCAGTGCTGGGCGGGCGGGAGCAGCCCTGGTGGCCGTGGCCTGTGTGTGCCAGGGCTCTGGAATCCTCTCCTGCTTGCCCAGGTTACAATAGAGATGAACGAGCCGGTGCAGCTGACCTTCGCCCTGAGGTACCTGAACTTCTTCACCAAAGCCACCCCGCTGTCCCCCACGGTGACACTCAGCATGTCTGCAGATGTTCCTCTGGGTGAGTGCCACGCCTCTGCCCCAGCACAACTGGAACTTGAGGCTGGATTTGATGCAGAACCCTCTGAACACCCTTTTTCCATTCTCTCCCCCAGTTGTGGAGTACAAGATCGCTGACATGGGACACCTGAAGTACTACCTGGCCCCCAAGATCGAGGACCAGCAGGATGGCTCTTAACTGGAGCAGGACTGGGGGAGATCTGCTCCAGGCTGGAGGCAGCAATTCCAGAGCCTGGGAGCATCTGGGAGCACTGTAGCTGTGTCTTGTAGATATAACTTTGTAAATATTTTTCAACTCTGCGTTTTGCTATCCTGGTATCATTGGAAATAGGAAAGCTGAGTTTTTCTAGTCTGTTCCTGTACTCCCAGCAATCTCTTGAAGGTGAAATTTCTTACTCCTTTCAGCTGCTGTTGGAGAAGAGGGGCAATATTTAATGGTCAAGATGTATCCTGGAGTTTCCCCTGTGGAGCTGTAGCTTAGGGTTGCTGTTTTGTTATCCCACCAATTTATGTGACCTTACTTCATTTATTTTTGAAGCCGATATTTTGACTGAAACTTGGAAAATGGAAATAAAAAATATAATTTCCTGGAGTTTGTCGTGTTTAAATGTGGTGAATCGCTGCTTTTGAAGCTGTGCTGATGTGCCCTGAGTCCTTCTCAAGGCCCAGAGTTCAGCTCTGGTCACTCAGGTGTGGAAGAGGTGCCACTCTGCTCCCTGGATGTGGCACTTGGGGACAGGGGCTCGTGCTGACCGTGGTGCTGGATTCTGGTCCTATGAAGGCTTTTCCCAACCTTTGCCCGATTTCAGTACAATTGGAAAAATTGGGAAAATTGTACTGTTATTTTCAGTGTAGTCGGTGAGATGAGAATCCCGGGGACGAACCGCCTGAAAAGCTGGCCCGGCAGGTGACAGAGGATGGCAGCAGGTGGCAGTGCCGGCCACGAGCGAGCCCCGCTGCTGCCGGGGAGGGACAATCCCTGCCCGGGGCTGGGGACAGCGCTGCCCCGGGGCTGGGGACAATCCCTGCCCGGGGTTGGGGACAATCCCTGCCCGGGGCTGGGGACAGCGCTGCCCCGGGGCTGGGGACAGCACTGTCCGGAACTGGGGACAATCCCTGCCCGGGGCTGGGGACAGCACTGCCCGGGGTTGGGGACAGTCCCTGCCCGGGGCTGGGGACAATCCCTGCTTGGAGTTGGGGACAGCACTCCCTCAGCCCTGGGGACAATCCCTGCCCGGGGCTGGGGACAATCCCTGCCCGGGCTGGGGACAATTCCTTCTCAGGGTTGGGGACAGCATTCCCCCGGCCCTGGGGACAATCCCTGCTCGGGGCTGGGCTCCTGCTGGGACCCGCACTCCTGGCCATCCCTGCCATTGTCCCACGCCAGCGTGGAGGCGACACTCATGGACACTCAGGTGTCCCCACCACGGCAGGGGTGGCCCCGGCCCTGGGACAATCCCTGCCCGGGGTTGGGGACAGTCTCTGCTTAGGGCTGGGGCAAATCCCTGCTCGGGGCTGGGGAGAATCCCTGCTCGGGGTTCGGGCCAGCACTGTCCGGCCCTGGGACAATCCCTGCTTCGGGTTGGGGACAGCACTGCCCCGGCCCTGGGGACAATCCCTGCCCGGCCCTGGGGACAATCCCTGCTCGGGGCTGGGCTCCTGCTGGGACCCGCACTCCTGGCCATCCCTGCCATTGTCCCACGCCAGCGTGGAGGCGACACTCATGGACACTCAGGTGTCCCCACCACGGCAGGGGTGGCACTGGGAGACCTTCAAGGCTCCTCCCAACCCAAACCATTCCAGGATTCGGGCTTTAGACGCCGATTTCCAGCTGCCTCCCTTGCTGAGCTGCCTCCGGATCCTTCCCGATTTATCCTCCAGCACCTTCAGGAAAACATCCGGCAAGGCGCATCCTCCACCCCGGCGCTTTCAGCCGCTCCTGACGTGTTCCCCCGTTCACCCGGGGCTGTTTCCCCGTTCACCCGGGGCTGTTCCCCCGTTCACCCGGGGCTGTTTCCCCGTTCACCCGGGGCGGTGCGGGCACGGGAGGCTGGCCCGGCCCCGCCGTGACCTGGAAGGGAAGCGGCGTCACCGGGATCGACTTCCCGGGGCCGGGCGGGGCCGGCATGGAGCGGGCGGGCGGCAGGTACCGGGCCGGGATGGGTGGATTCGGGGTGGGTTTGGGTGGGTTCAGGTGGATTCGGGGTGGTTTGGGGTGATTTCGGGGTGGGTTTGAGTGGGTTTAGGTGGATTTGGGTTGGGTTTGGGTTGGAGTTTGGGTGGGTTCCGGTGGATTTGGGGTGGTTTAGGCGGGTTCGGGACGGGTTTGGGAGAATTTGGAAGGGTTGCGCTGGGTTCGAGTGGGTTCCGGTAATTCGAGGTGGATTTAGGGTGATTTGGATGCTTTTAGATGCGTTTAAGTGGGCTCGGGTGGATTTGGGGTGTTTTGGGTGGATTTTGGGTGAGTTTGGAGTAGGTTTGGGCGGGTCCGGGTGTATTCGGGGTGGATTTGGTGTGTTCTGGGTGGATTTGGGACGTTTGGGGTGCATTTAGGTGTATTCTGGGTGGATTTGGTGTATTCTGGGTGGATTTGGGGTGCCTTTGGTACGTTCTGGGTGGATTTTTCCCCTCTTGTGCATCTGCCCTCGAGCCTGGGGGTGTTTGGGTCAACAAGGATGTGTGGGGAGCAGGAAATGCCACCCTGCAGGTGTTTCCATTATCCACAGGGCCAAAAGTGTTTTGTCCATGTTTGGGTTTTGCCACTAAAACAAAAGCCCAAAGTTCAAGCCAAAGGTTCAGTGGTGGAAATTTCAGATCAGAGGGGATTTCATAAAAGTCAATTTTACAGCAGGAGGAACGAAGCTGGGTGGGGAACGTGCCAGCAATTAGTGACAAAGGGCTTCAGTTCAATGGAGACTCAACATTTGAGTGGATGCATCACCTCTGATGATAAAGAATGTTGTGGAAATAGAATTTTTATCCCTTCCTGTTGGCACTGCAGGAATATCTACTTTTGTTCCCTTGCTTGCAGGCTTTCTCAGAAAATAAAAGCTGCATTGAGGCTTTGGGAGGCGCGGGGAGCCCTTCCCTGCCTGTCCCCTGGGAATGCGTGTCCTGCTGGGACAGGGGCACGGGGAGCTTGGCAGGATGGCTCCCTGGGCAGCTCTGGCTCTGCTCCCTGTCCCCAGGCTGTCCCCCTGCCACTGGCAGCCTGCTCTGCACACCTGAGTGGTCACCTCACCACTCGCACTCCTTGTCCTGCTCCGAGTCACTCCTGCTGTCCCCATGGCAGCTCCATCTCCTTCCAGCTTCCAGTGGTTTGCGTTGCTTTTTGTGTTTCTTTGGTTCTTTGGGTTTGTTTTTTTTTTTTCCCCCAAATTGCTCTCTTGCAAAATCTCCTGGTGGTTGAAAAGCTGCTTTGTTTAGCTCTGGTTTGGGTTTATTGGCTGGGATCCTGCTCAGAAACAGCCAGAGCTTGGACATCTGTGAGAGCCGGGTCATTCCTGGGCCCTGCCCTGGAATTTCCATCTGGTTTGAAGCACAGGTTCTACCTTGACTCCAAACATCGTTGCAGCTCTGTCTATTTGGTATTTCAGGTTTCAAATTAAATGCTTAGCTCCTCTGTGGGAAAAGTTTTAATTTACAAAGGTGGCACAGCCTCGACAGGGGAGTTTCTCCTCTGAAACTTGAGTTCTGTCTCTCAGACTGCCATCTCTGTCTCCTCTCCTGATTTTCTCCTGCCCTGGCTCCCAGGCTGTAGCTGATGCCCAGGCCCCCCTGGAATGATGCCGTCCAGGACCAATCTCTCCGCTGGGATCCCCAGTAGCAAAGTCAAATATTCCAAACTCTCCAGCACCGACGATGGATACATTGACCTGCAGGTAAAACTGGGGAAGGAGGCTGTGAAACCACGAGGGTGGGCAGCCACAGGCAGCTGCTTCTTGGGCATCTCTGGTGGAGCAGCTGCAGCTCAGAGAGGGACAAAGCCAGGAGGGAGCCAAACCTCAGCCCTTCCCCTCTGGAAAGGCCAAAGAGCCTCCCTGGGAACAAGACTGGGAGTAGGGGCTGGCTCAGCAGGGCCTCAAGGGCAGGATTCCTCCTGGAGGGCAGTTCTGGAGCAGGATTTTGTGCCAGCTGTGGGGTCCCACCTGTGCTGTGGTGGGAGGGGAGCTGTGCCAAGTTCAGCTGTTCAACATTTGGGTTTTTTCCATCCAGTTCAAGAAGAGCCCACCCAAAATCCCCTACAAGGCCATCGCACTGGCTGTGGTGCTCTTCATGATCGGGACCTTCCTCATCATCATCGGAGCCCTGCTGCTGGCAGGGTACATCAGCAAAGGGGTGAGTGCTTCAGACACTCCTGGCGCTGGTTCTGCACTGCCCCGAGCCCTCTCTGCCCATCAGGGCACAGCAAACAGCCTCAAGGCACACCAGGAGAGGTTTCAGTTCAAAATGAGGCAAGGTTTGATGTGGGAAGGGTGGGAAGGGCCTGGCACAGCTGCAGTGCTGCACTCCCCATCCCTGGGAGGGTTCAGAACACGGGGATGTGGCACTCCAGCACGTGGGTAGGGGTGACCCTGGGGGTGGTGATGGGTCTTGGTTGGACTTGATGGCCTTGAAGGTCTTCTCCAGCCTCAAGGATCCTGTGATGGGTTCAGTGTAGAACTTCAGAGCCACGGGGAGTGAGCAGGGAATGGATTCCCACCACAGCCACCTTGGGCATCTCCAAGGAGGGCTGAGTGTCCCTGGAGAGATCTCAGCCCGTGCAGGGACAGGGAGGAGCTGCCAGACCCTGTGTGGGGCACAGCAACACTTCCCCATCTGGCTGTGGGTGATTCCTGGGCAGGGGATCTGCTCCTGCAGCTCTGGGTGCTTCTGCCCCTGCTCCCTGTGCTGTGGGCTCAGGGGGGTTGGCAGCTCTGCCTTATCTCTGGCAGCAGCAGCAGCCTCTGGGGCTATCAGCAGAGCTCCAGGCACAGATCCCTGGGCTCATGCTCGCAGCTCCCAGCCCTGGCTGCACATCCAGGGGGTCCCTGCTGAAGGATGGGGTCCCTCGAGGGTTCCTGCAGCAAGGAGGAGAGGCCTGGATGGGATTAAGGGCTCAGCCTGGTGACAGCTGAGATGTTTCTGGTGGAAGATGGGCTTTTATTTCTCAGCTCGCCAGGCCTTGGGGCTGGATCACAGAACCACGGGATGGTTTGGGTTCAGAGAACCTTCCAGATCACCTCATTCTCTGAATTCATTCACATCTCACCTGCCCTGGGCAGGGCAACCTTCCCCTAGACCAGGCAGGGCGTGAGAGGGAGGAGAGCCCCTCTCAGAGATGTCACTGTGGTGCCTTGGGAAGGCTGAGCTAGAGCAGGGTTCTGTTTGTGCTCTTGGGTGAGATTTGGGTGGTTGTCCTTAATCCCCAGCTAGAGAAGGAATTGTTTTGTCTCCCTACCCTGTGAAGAGAGCTTACAACACTTAACATGAAGCTCAGGACTGCTCACTAAAACAGCACAGAAGCTGGAAAACATAAAAGCTGAACCCTGAGGTGTGGCATTCACAAACTGAGACAGACATGATTCTCTCTCTCAGGTTTTTTCCTGGAGAATCACAGAGGGAAAACAATTTTTATCTCTGCTTGCACGCGTAGAATGCGTTGGGGAGATTGTCTACCTGACAGAATTTAGTAATTAGATTCTGGTGGAGATTGTTTATGTTAATGAACCTATCAGGTCCAAGCTGTGTGGACTGTCAGTCTGCAGACTGAGTTTTTCAGTTAGTATCATACAGTATAACACAGTATCTGTCTTCAATACAGTTGTAATGCAATATAGGACAGCTTTAACAAAGCGAGCGTTCAGCATTCCAAATTAGAGTCACAGACCAATCATTGAATCATTTCCCGTGCCGAGGGTGCCCTGCACTGCTGCACTGAGGCATCAGCTGCCCTGTGCTGCTGTGTCCCTGCAGGAGACCGAGCGGGCCATCCCCGTGCTGATCATCGGCATCCTGGTGTTCCTGCCCGGCTTCTACCACCTGCGCATCGCCTACTACGCCTCCAAGGGCTACCGGGGCTACTCCTACGACGACATCCCCGACTTCGACGACTGAACTGTTAATTAACCCCGCTCTAATTAGGCTGCTCACAGCTGGTAGTTCCCCCGGGTGCTGGCGGGGCACGGCTGAGCGTCCCTGGGCGGCGCCGCGTCCCGGCCTCGAGGTGTTGCAGGTTCTCCAGTTTTGGGGGTTGGGGGTTCCAGCCTGGAATTGACCAAAAGGAATTGAAAAGAACTTGGGATTTATGGGATTTTTGTTTTTTTCCTCATGGGTTTTTTTCTGGCCTCGAGGAGTTGCAGGTTCTCCAGTTTGGGGGTTGGGGGGTCCAGCCTGGAATTGACCAAAAGGAATTGAAAAGAACTTGGGATTTATGGGATTTTTGTTTTTTTCCTCATGGGTTTTTTTCTGGCCTCGAGGAGTTGCAGGTTCTCCAGTTTGGGGGTTGGGGGGTCCAGCCTGGAATTGACCAAAAGGAATTGAAAAGAACTTGGGATTTATGGGATTTTTGTTTTTTTCCTCATGGGTTTTTTTCTGGCCTCGAGGAGTTGCAGGTTCTCCAGTTTGGGGGTTGGGGGGTCCAGCCTGGAATTGACCAAAAGGAATTGAAAAGAACTTGGGATTTATGGGATTTTTGTTTTTTTCCTCATGGGTTTTTTTCTGGCCTCGAGGAGTTGCAGGTTCTCCAGTTTGGGGGTTGGGGGGTCCAGCCTGGAATTGACCAAAAGGAATTGAAAAGAACTTGGGATTTATGGGATTTTTGTTTTTTTCCTCATGGGTTTTTTTCTGGCCTCGAGGAGTTGCAGGTTCTCCAGTTTGGGGGTTGGGGGGTCCAGCCTGGAATTGACCAAAAGGAATTGAAAAGAACTTGGGATTTATGGGATTTTTGTTTTTTTCCTCATGGGTTTTTTTCTGGCCTCGAGGAGTTGCAGGTTCTCCAGTTTGGGGGTTGGGGGGTCCAGCCTGGAATTGACCAAAAGGAATTGAAAAGAACTTGGGATTTATGGGATTTTTTTCCTCTTGGGGTTGCATAATTCCGTTCTTCCTGGGCGAGGCAATCCTTGCAATTTTCCAAAAATAGATGAGCTGGTTTCAGCTGCAGATATTTGTTTTTTCTCTAAGTGTTTTCTAGAATTTATTTTAGCTTTCCATGAGGCTGTGGTTATTGTTGGGTTACCTTTGCAGATAGACCATCATTAAATTCTCCTTTTGCTCTCTGTCCATCAGAAATGCTTCCAAACCACTGGTCCTGCAGTAAATAAAGTCTGATGAGAGTGGGAAAGCAGCACTTGCAGGAAGGGATTTCCACCTCCACAGACTGGCCAAGCTCACTTCCCCACCAACAAACTCCTCCTCCCCGAGCGAGCTTTCCCCGTGCCACTGCTGCTGTTGGCAAAATCTGCTTATCCTTCACAGGGACTGGTGCTGGAGTTTGCTTGTCATTTAAACAACCAGATGGATACTGGGAGAGGGATTGGAACCCAGACTCCAGTGTCTAAATACCAAACATCTTGGGCTTGACTGATGTGGGTATTGGAGACACTTGAACTCCAGCTGTCTGTCTTCTGGAGTCCTTTTGTCCTTGTGTAGATAATTTGCTGTGCAGACCTGCCCAGGCCAGTGAAGAGAAGTTCTGTGTGTAGTTTGTGCTGACCAAAGCCCCTCTGGATTGCTTTGCCAGCTTTGCTGATGTGGCATTCAGGGAAAGCAGAGTGGTGGCTCCACTTCTGTGAGGTCAGACCAGGCTGTGTCCTGGACAACGAGCAGCCATGCAAGTGGATGCATTTAACATGAATAAAGTTCTGTATTCTCTGTAACCACAGGTTTGTCCTTCCCACCTTCACAGGTGTCAGAGTGCACGAAAAACTCTGCTGGGCTTTGGCTGCTGCTGCCTCCAGCTCCCAGGAGCTGCTGGAGCCAGGGAGGCAGAGCTGGAACAGCCCCAGCAGTGTCAGGCTGCACAGAGCACTCCACAGCTGCCACCTGACCCGGGTGGGCAGAACATTCCAGAAGGAAGGGGCAGGAGTGACTGACAGTGGCAGGACAAACACCTTGCTTTGAACCTACTCCTAGAATTGCCTTTTTTCCTCCTTCAGTGCTCCAGATCAAACCCAAACCCTGAGCCAAGATGGCTTTTTTATCCTGCCTCTCTTCCCTCACTTGTCTGCACCCCCCTGAGTGAATCCCAGCACTGAGGAAGAACTGGTTAAATTGTTAAATTCAGGATCTCCCTTTCCATCTCTGGAGGTTCCTCCCTGCTGCCAGCCCCGGCTGGGGTGGGACAGGGGACAGGGGACAAGGGACACACGTGCTGCTGGCAGCAGCTGGATTGTGTCAACTACTGCAGGCTCTGGCCACCAGAGCTCCTGCTGACGTCAAACCATGAATCAGCCTCTCTTAGGGGACAAGAACCTGCGTTTATTTGGGTTTGGGGAGGGGGGCAGGAAGTGGAAGGGAAGTTTAGATGGAAAAAGCAAAGAGGGAGGGAGGAGATGAAGCAATTTGGGAAGGGGGGGTCACCTAAGTGGGATGAATGAAGGGGACAGGAGAAGGAACTGAACTTGGATGATCCTTGTGGGTTCCTTCCCACTCAGGGCATTCTGTGATTCTGAGAACATGCTGGAGGACAGAAATTCATGAATTTACTTTTCTTTGACAGAGGCAAAGTCCTCAGGCAGCAGTGGATAAATAAGCAGGGCCTTGTGAGGGATGGCCAGATGAAAAAGTCCCCTCTGCAGGGTTTTTGTATCTAATTGGGAAAAAAAGAAACACTTCTAGGAGAGAAAAAGGGGATTCTGACCACTGGAAATACAGGGATGCAGAGGACTTCATTCTTCAAGCTGACATGCAGGTTTTGGGGAGCCCAGACTGACTCCCTGCAGCAGTGAGGGGAATGGGAAAAGGCCTGGGAAGGAGTTTGTGGTTCTAGAGCAGGGCTGGAATGACAAATGAGGCACAGATGAATGATAACTCTGAATAGCTGCTCCCTTTGTGGGGCATCCTCCACTCTGGGCAAGGCAGCTGTCTCAGGGAGGAACAGTCAGCATTTATAGAGCCTGATGGTGTTACCAGGCACAGAAGCTCTGCAGAAAGGACAGGCAGCCAGATTCCAGGCTGTTCTCTGCTTTATGAGTGCTTGGATTGGTGTCTCAATGCCATTCTTCGATTGCTGTTGCAGAGTGTAGTTACACAATTAATTACCTGCTTAATTTAATGCCATGGAATTGCTGGAAAGATTTGGAAAGGTGATTCTGGAGTCCTGTGAGCTACCAGCAGTGCCCAAGAAATCCTCCTGTATTTGTTATAAGACATTTTAGTCAATCTCACGATTGGGTTTTTTGGGGGTTATTTTTGTTTGTTTTTTTGTTTGGTTGGTCGGGTTTTTTTAGGTTTTTTTTGGTTTTTTGAGTGAACAAAGCCAGAATAATCCAAAACATTGTGCAAATGGTGCCATAAACCCCAAAGGGGACACCACCCAGCCCTTGGACCTCCCTTCAGCAGGGAGGGGACACCACGCAGCCCTTGGATCTCCCTGGCCTCCCAAGCACTGCAGACACCTCTGGTTTCCCCCTCCCAGTTCAGGACAGTCCTGCCTTCACTTCCTGCCTTCTCAGCCCGATGAAAAGAAGGATTTTTGCCCTTTTCCCAGGGCTCTGTGCTGACCCAGCTGTGCCTCCCTGCTCCTACTCCTGTGTCCTGTGTGGAATGTGGAAGTGCACATGCACAGCAGTTCCTCTCCCCTTCCTGAGCACAAAAGCAGCCTGAGGATTTTTAGGAATGCTGGATTTGACTAAAAATAGTCCAGACAGTCCTGCAAGACCATGACAGAGCCTCCCAAGGGAGCTGGCTTTGTTCTGTGGTGGAGCCAAGGGTCAGAGGGGGGGAAAACTCAATTGTTGATTAGAAATGATTGTTTGCAGTTGATTGAACTGCCTGCTTTGCTGCTCTGGGCTCAGCAGAGTGGTTTGTGCTGGTAACCCTGAGGCCTTTCCTTCCCTGCTTTCCTGTGCCTAGGAAGGTGTTCAGGAACTGCTTTAATCAGAAGAAAGGCAATTACTGGGAGCTGTTCTGTGGCCTGGACAGAGCTTTCTTCTGATAAGAATCAGGAAGTGACATTTCCTTCCTGCACGCTGCACTGGGCTGGATTCTGAGGCAGCACAAAGGGACCTCCCCTCCCACACAACACACAGCCATGAGATCCTGCAGAGCTTTGGAACAGAACTGTGAGGAATCTTCTTTGAGAGGACTTTCAGCTCCTGTGAAACAGCAGGTTTGGCACTGAAGCAAAAATTCTGTGGAGGAATCACCGTTTCACCCTGGGCTGTTAAAGCAAAGGGCAGCAAATCCACTAGTCACCACTAATTAATTTTGTTTTGAAATATTTACTTGGGCTGAAGTAGTAGCTGCTCTTAAGTCTTTAAAGGATTAGCTGCCTGCTACTCTTTCGTGCCTGCAACCATTTATTTAAGCTGTTGCTGCAAATCATGCTGTTAACCTGTCATGAGAGGTTTTAACCTTCCTTCTCTTGTCAGTGGGAGATGCCTGGTGCAGCTGGCCCTGCTGATGTGACAGAAATTCAACATCCACTCAGGTCCTCTGGGCTCTTTCCCCAGCTTCTTCAAGGAAGGGCAAGACAGAAAATGCATGTAGTGATAATTATCAGCATCAGGGTGTTGCAAAGGCTGAGGAGGGGCTGTGAGGAGTTTAGGGAACATCAGCTGGGTCATGCAGCAGCCTGTTTCTGAGTTAAAGCTGTGGGTAGCAAAGGAAATGCTCAGGATCTAGAACAAACCCTTAAAGAAAACTGAGAACTCACCTCAGCAGGGATTATTTCTTACTCTCAGGCAAATGTTTAGTGTAAAAGGGAAAGATCTCAGGTCCTTAAACCTACAAATACTAATTAGCATCACCATACAATTTTCTAGCAGTTTTCATTAATGTGTCATTAGAAGTCCTCTGCCAGCACCTATAATCCTCATTTTTCTTGTCTCTCAACACTAACAGTCCATAGCACAGCATGACCTCTTCCCTGCTATTTTGGGTGGTTCTTTTCCAGACAAATGCCTTATTTTCTCTGTATTTGATACTGGAGGTCAAGAGAATCCTCTCTGCTTTTATTGCACAAGAACAGAGGCAGGATTGTAACAGGGCCAGTGCAAATGTGTGCCTAAAAATAAACCAGTGGATGGTCTCCAGCTTCAAACACAAAAAGAGTATTTGTGGAGGTCTCTCTTTGTTGCATGATCGAGTTTCAGATCACTGAGGAGACACTTCAAAGTTCAGCTCACAAGCAGGTCGTGGTTTAATCCTCCCCATGAAACAAAGACAACTCTGTGACTTGGATCCGTGGTCAGCTGCCACCCTGAGCTGGCAGAGGCTCCCTCGGGATGGATCATCCCTGGGGCAGGGGCAGTGTCTGGGGGCTCTCCTGGGCTGCTGCCTCCCACCCTGGGCTGCTGTTTCCCACCCTGGCTGCTGCCTGCCACCCTGGGCTGCTGCCTCCCACCCTGGCCACAGGCCCAGGGCTGCAGAGGGCCAGGCAGGCCCACAGCCCTTCTGCCACCTCTGCTGGAAACAATCCGAGGGGCCAGAGCTCGCAGAACACTTCAGTGACACTGCTTGGCACCAATTAGGAAGAGCAGAGAGGTGGCACTCCAGGCAGGGAAGGGGTTAACCAACTACAGGGCAGTTTTGGGGGGAGAAGTTACAGTTCATTGTTCCAGGCTCTCTGTGGATTTCTGTTTTGTCCTTTCATCGGTGATTCTAGGTTCTTATCAAAGGGGTTGCTAGTCCTTCCTCTGTTTTTGCTTGGCCTGTGAGCCTTCCAGGGCATGGCCTGTGCCCTCACCTGTGAGCAGGAGCACAGAGGGAGAGCTGTGCTGGCTGGCAGCTATAAATAGAGAGCCTGGCCAGCCCTGTGGCATCCGTGCTGCTATAATTGCCACTGTGCACTCCCGTGACAAGCCTTGCTCCAGCTGCCAGGGCAAGGAGGAGCTGCAGGGAGCCCCCACAGTCAGTCCCAGAGCCGGCCCTGCCCCTGGAGCTCTGCTGTGGCCTCGGTTCTCCCTCTGCCTCTGGGAGTTCTGCTTTTCCTCTGTGAGTGTGACCAGTGGGATTTGGGCAGCTCAGTTGCAGCAGCTGCTTTGCAGAGGGCTCGTGGTCTAATTCATGCCTCAGCACCTCTGTTTATTTTGCCTTGTGCCCCTGGCTGCAGGAGGCTGGTGTGTCTGTGTCACTCCTGATGTCACCATGTGCTCACACGAGGGATTGAGTGAGTCACGGAGTAAAAGTGGCCCAAGCCCTCCATCCTTCCTCCCTGAGGAATGCCTTGCCAGGGGGTGAAAGCAGAGGCTGTGTCTGCTCTCACTCCTCTGCTGGGGGATGAGTAAGCAGCCACCAGGCACTGCTGCCTGTGCTGTGCACAGTGAAGGACCTCTTTTATTCTGTGCTATAAAATTCCCCTAATGGACTTCAAAATGATTTAGTGCACCATGTCCAGCTCATTTTGGAAGTAGTTTAAGTGGGAATGAGCTGCTCTGTCCTGTTATCTGCCCACAGCAGCTGCTCTTTATTCCCAGAGCTCTGAACAGCCCCACGTGAATGAGACACAAGGTGACAAATCCCAGCTTGTCTCCCCCTTGGAGACCATCCCTGCAGATGCCTCAGGGTTGCTCTGATGGGGAGAAGATCTAATGGAACAGAACTCCAGGGTGAGTGTGCCCAGGAGAGCGAAACCATCAGGAGCCACCAGCCCCAGGCTGCTGCCACAACGCCTCAGAGCCAGATGTGGCTGCAGAGAGTCAGCGTTTGGACAAGGAGAGCCCTGCAGGAGAACACAGCAGGCAGGACAAACACGGGCTGCTCTCCTGGCCCCCTCCTGCTCCCACTCCTCCCAGGATTTACAGGCTCATTCCAGGAGCTGTGCTTTTGGGAAGCAGCCTGGGGATGAACTTGGAGAGGTGACTCAGCCCATCTCCTCCTCCTCCTGTCAAACACGGGCGCTGCCCCTGACTCAGCAAGTGAAATCTCATTGCTTTGGTACAGCCCCGAGGTAGCAGACTCGACAGCAGCAAGAAAATTGCCTTCCCCTGCAGAGCACAGGCTGTCCAGCTGAGTTAGCAACGCTGGGAGCACTCCGGAGCACTCTCCCTGCCCTGGCTGCCTGACAGCTTGGCATGAATATCCCGTGGGAGAAGAAGAGGGACCTGGGATGGGTTGTTGTACTCTCCTGGTTGTTTGTACTCTCCTGGTTGTTTGTACTCTCCTGGTTGTTTGCACTCTCCTGGCTCCCACAACCTCCTCTCCACTTCCAAAACATTTTGCAAACCCAAAGCTGAAGGAATGTCTCCTCTTTCCAAAAGCTGCCAAAAGAGGGGAAACCACCGTGCGAGCACCAGCAGGGACCCAGGAGTCCTGCAGCCCCGCAGATCTCCTGTCCTGCTCTCCTCCTGGTTCATTCACGACACGAATTCAGCCCTGCTGATCCTCCCCGGCACCGCAGGCACAGCAGCGGCTCTGCCGCGTGGGTCGCTGCCTGCAGCTTTGTAATTTGAGAACTTGGCCCGAGATGCTCGGACCGAAAGCTCTTTGCTACCGAGAGCACTTTGCACTAATTAAACTTCGTAAAAATTCTCCATTTAGCAGGTGAAAAACCAGGGGGTTGAGCCGGGCTGGCAGAGCCCATCTCGGTTCTGAGCAAGAAACACTTTTTTTCTGAGAAAGAGACACGTTTTTTTCTGCCTCAATTTCCATCTGACATTGAGGGCAACAGCAAGTCCCCGAGGTAAAGACAAATTCCTGTGGGTCGGGAGTTTCCCACCAGCTGGTGGAGGTGGCATTTCAACCAAGGGCTGCTCACACTTGCTTTCCTCACCTCACAGAGTGAAACCCAGGGTCTGCCCAGCTCTTCCCCTCAGGTACCATTCCATATTCCAGAGGGAGAAGCAAAAAAAAAAAACAAAAAAACCACTGTTGGTGAGTTGTTAACTTTTTTTGGGCTTATTTGGGGGGAGTCTCCACTCACCTCCTAGGCTGCTGTTGAAGTAGCAGGGGTTTCATTTTTATTTTGTGTAATCCAGTGGAAGATATTCCTGTTATCCACACACAGGAGTGCTGGGTTCTTATTAATTGCTGGACTGCATCTGTGGGATTCACACAGAATGTTATTCATCTAATGCAAGGCTGGCTATTTTTTTTTTTTAATTTTCTTTTTTTATGTTATAAAAACTAAACTCAAACCACGCCAAGAAAACAAGATTGGAAATGAGCTAAGGATCCCAGACCCAAACCAATTATAGGATCAGGGGATGGTTTGGGTCCATTGGAAGGGACCATCTCAATTCCCCTGCCAAGGGTGAGGATGCCATTCACCAGATACCATCCCTGGATGTGAAGTTTTGATTTGGTCTTTTGGACATCCTGTGCTCAGATCAATGATTCACATCCCAGCCGAGACAACACTTGGGGTTAAAATGGAAATTTTGAGTAAGAGACACCAGCCAAAAAACATTTCAGCCTTGAAATTTATGCCAGTAACGTTTGTGCTGCATCTGAGGAAAACCCTGACCTGCAGCCCTGTCCTTTGATCCACACAGAGACACGAAGAAACAACCCAAATAAAGCTGGGGAATGTCCCCAGTAAAGCTTCCTTGGACTGGCTGGTGCTAGGGTGCAGCAGCACCTCCCTACCTGTTCAGGTAAATCCCTGAGTGAGCTTTGAGGAGCTCAGGTAATCCAGACTTTCTCCAAGATGGAGAAAACAAAGGGAATGTGTCTCCATTTGGATCTCAAAGCACACCAAATGATTGATGATGCTAATTTCTCCTGCTGCGTGGTCAGGAAGGACGTGCACATCCCATGGCTCCAATTCTTCCAGCTTTTATCTGTGAATCACTCAGGCAGAGAGGGATTGAATGTTTAGATAAAAACCTCAAGGTTCTTCACTACATTTTAGTAACACAAATTATATAAACCAATAATCCCAGTAAAGTTTCTGCTTCTGTAGCAGGACAGTGATGGCATAAAAAGGGCTTTGACTCCCTGAAGAAGGGAAATGCCAGGGAATTTGCTCAAACTTTGCAGCACAGGAGGCCACCAGGAAGGGAATGTACCAATTTAAGAGGGAAAAGGATTGAAAAAGGCTTTACTGGGTTTGAGCCCATGGTTCCAGGGGGTCTAGCTGTGTCAAATTCAATTCTTGGAGCACTAAATATATCTTCATCATCCTTCCCCAGCTTGCCCTTGGGATTATCAGGACCCTGAGGTCTTTATCTGTTACATTCCAATCTGACTGATGTGTTTTCTCTCGCTGTATTTCCCCCTGCCACCTTTCACCTGGGTAAGGCAGGTTGGAAAATGATAACAATCCAATATAAAATAGACAAAGCTGTGTCTCTGTCCCTGATCCTGAGCACACACAAACTCCTGTCAACAGCACAACTGCTGCAGCCTCCATCAACCTGGCATCACTAAAATGTCCCTCCTGTCACCTCCCCACCCTGACAAACAAAGGCTTTTAACGTTTAAAAGCTGCACTGAAGCCTGTGCCTACATTTGGGATAAGGCCAGGTATTGAATAATTCCCAGGATCGATATCCATAATCAAGGCTCAGCCCTGCCCTCTATAGTTCTCCATATGTCTCACTGGAAAAACCTTTTAGAAGCTTAACCAGGAGAGTGTTGCAGTGAATGTGGAAAAAAAATATATATATGGGAGGATAAGCACAAATGCTCCAGAGGCCTCCTAGGGTCTCTGGTCTTAAAGTAAGCTCCTGGGTTTTAATGGGATCGGATGAAACCCTCTTGGTGGGGGGGTGGGACAGCTGGTGAACAAACACCCTGCCAGCATTCCTGCCTGCCAAACACTGCACAAACAGCAAGGACCCAGAAGATCAACAGAGAACTGCAGGTCTGGGTGAATCAGGGTCCAGCTGGGGAGCACTTTGCCATCGACTCAGGGCTGCACCTTGATTAAACAACAGCTGGGCTGGGGGAGAAAGCCCGGCACGGGTCAATATCTCCTCAAGGAGAGCAAGGAGAAAGGGCAGGAATCAGCTGAGGGGCTCAGCCCTGGCTGCCCAGAGAGCCCCGAGCAAGGGAAGGAGCCACGAGCTGATGTGTCTGAGAACTGCACGTTCTGGGAAGGGCAGGACACAAATTAGAGCGAGTTAACGTTGTCAGGAGCCATTAGGGATGTCAGATGTTGCCGAGAGGGACGTGAGAGAGGCAGAGTCCAGAGCTGGGTACCGGAGCTGCAGACGTCAGCAGTGCCTGAAAACACCCAGCTCTGTGGGCTGGGAGGGGGATTTGTCACATCTGTGTCACATTTGTGTCACATTTGTGCCCCATTGGTCCTCGGAAATCTCGGAAAAACGGGGTTTGCAGATGCGGTGGAGGTGTCGTTTTGGGGGACTCAGCCTCCTCTAGTGCAACAGGGGAGGTTTAGGTTGGCCATCAGGAGGAATTTCTTCACAGAAAGGGTGATTAGACATTGGAATGGGCTGCCCAGGGAGGTGGTGGAGTTACTGACTCTGGAGAGGTTTAAGGATGTGGCACTGAGTGCTCTGGTCTGGTTGGGATGGTGATGATTTGGCCCAGGCTGAGCTCGACCTCAGAGGTCTTTTCCCACCTAAATGATTCTCTGATTCTTTTGTTCCTCCCTAAACTCACTCTCCTATTGTAAAAGTTGGATTTTTCCTAAAAGATAATAATTTTTTAAAAAATCCAAAAAGAAACCCCAAAGCAAAACCCCAAGAGGGCCAGGGCTGGAGGCACCAGGCGAGCACCAGGGGCTGGAGAGGAACCCCCAGACGAGGGGGTTTGTTTGGGGACCTCATCAAAATCCATCAATATCCATCGATATCCATCGATATCTGCAGGGAGGTGTCAGAGATGGAGCAGGCTCTGCTCCCTGGGGCCCAGCAGCGGGACAAGAGGCAACGGGCAGAAACTGAGGCACGGAATGTTTTACCTGAACACGAGGAAGAACTTGGCTGTGCGGGTGACCAAGCACTGATTCCTAGAAGCGGAATAAGAGAGTTACACGATCCCTGATTCGGAAGGGAGCCCCTGATCCAACTCTCAGCCTTGCACAGCGCATCCCAACAATCCCACCATGTTCTTAAGAGCCTTGTCCCAACCCTCCTGGAGCTCTGCCATCCCTGAGGCCATGACCATTCCCTGGGGAGCCCGCTCAATGCCCCATTGCCCAGACAGGCTGTGGAATGTCCCCCACCAGGGATATTCCAAACCCGTCTGGACACAATCCCGTGCCATGTGCTCTGGGATGCCCCTTCCTGAGCAGAGAGGTTGGACCAGATGCCCCACTGCAGCCCCTTCAACCCGCCCCATCCCGTGACTCTGCCATTTGTGTCCTTCACGCATCAACCCTTCACACATCCCTGCAGCTGGAGGCTTCTCACCCTCAGCGAACACGCGGCTGTTTCCCCCTACCGACCTCCAGAGCCGCCATGGCGGCCGAGCCCTGAGGGAACGGGGCCGGGGCCGCGCCATCTTGTCGGGGGCGGAGGAAGCACCCGTCCCGCCCCGTGCTCTGCCTGCCGGGGCCGCCCGGCCCCGCCGCACTCGCCGCGGAGACCGAGGGGAGCGGAGCCGCAGCCCCCAGCGCCATTGCCGCCCTCAGCCCGCCATGGCAGGTGAGCCCGTCCTCCCGCTCCCGCCCTGAGGGAGCAGCCCTGAGGGAGCGCTTCCCCGCCGCGCTCTCCCCTCAGCGCCCTCCCCGCCGCGCTCTCCCCTCAGCGCTCTCCCTTCAGCGCTTTCCGCCCCTCACCGCCCGCCCGCTGTCAGCTCCGTGCCGGCCCCGCATCCCCGCGGCTCGGCCCTCGCTGCCGCCGGCCGGAGGGTCGCGGCTCCCCGCAGCCTCCACCATGTTAGCCGGCCGCGGTTCACCTTGGCCGCGCGGCTGCCGCGCCGTCCGCACCTCTGCGCTCCTCCTCTGCCTTTCATTTCGCGTTTGCGGGTTAAATAAAGCCTTCCCCGGGCTCCGCGCCGGTGTTTTCTGGCTCGGCAGCGTCTCCAGGGGATGGGGAAGGGGCGCGGGGGATGCCCGGCGTGGCATCTGCGGCGGGGTCACCTGCCCGGCCGGCAGCACCGCTCGGGCATCCATCCCGGGGTGGGGTCTGGTCTCTGTGCCGCTGAGGTAATTATTATTTTTTTTTTAATTTTTTTTTTTTTTCTCCTCTTTAATCTGAGACAAAATGGGTGGCAGAGCCGTAAGCTTGCAGATGGGATGGAGAAATGCAGGTTAATTCTCCCCTGGTCCCGAAGGGGTGGCCTCGCTCTTCCTTGATCCCGTTCTCGTGATACGCTTTAAAGCTCTTTTTCCCCCCCCTTTTAAAAAATTATTTATTTGCCTTTTTATTTTTCAGTGCACATCGAGGCAGCAAATATTTAAATTTTCTGGTTTTAACTTGCAAACCCCGTTCGATATCCTGTGTGGTTTTCTTTTGTTTTAAGGTACATTTTGGGTAGAAAGAAGTGATGTACGTAGTGCAGAAAAATGCCTGAACAAAGCTTGTTGCAAGCCTGTTAGGGTTCCTAGAATAAGGACTAACCACTATCATACATTCCTGTTGTTGGTGCCTTTTGCCTTTTTTCCCCATAAAGGCTGGGAATGAGGCAGAGGCTTTACAGTTTTATTCCATCCCTTCATTTTGGAGCCGTCGTTGTCATTTTGTAGGCAGGGAAGAGCAGCCCTTGAGGCGGTTTGGGGCTCTCCTGGCCAGGTGAGTGCGGGCTGGGCTGAGCCCAAAGGCAGCAGCAGAGCCGCTGGAAGGTTCTGGCAGGGAAGGAAATCCCCTGAGGTGTTTAAGACAAGGTAAAGACCTGGCCTGTTCATCTTTTCCGCCTTGTCATTTCCCACACGCAGCTGACTCTTGGTGTGAGTTCAGTGCCAGGTAAATGCCAGACTCCTTGTTGCTGATGAGCTTTAATTTTCAATAAAAACACCAAATGCTCTGCATTCATAGGGAACTTAATATGTCTGTGTGTCCTCACTGCAGTGTAGTGCTGCCAGGCTTGAGCAGGCTTTAAATTACCCAGTTTAAGCTTGAAAAAAGAGCTGGTTTGGGTAGTGGTTTTCCTGGCAGGTGGAGTTTGATGCAGGCTGTAAAACGAAGTGGAGAAGCAGAACAAACGCTGGAGTGATGAGCAGCTGATGCCAGAGCCAGGCTTAACTGCACACCTTATCTGCCAGGTGATTTCAGTGTAGATAAAGGATTATTGCAACAAGTAGCTCAGGTTAGCAAACTGGAAAATAATCCTTGAGATGTGTGGAACAATTGGATTAGTTGATGAGCTCTTGTACCCCTACTCCTGGCTCCCAGTCATGATCCAGATACCTTGAAATTAGAGCAGTGTTAACATGGAGATGCACTGAAACAAATTCAACCTTGGGCTAGCAAGGAGGTTAAACAAGCCCTGAGATTTTTATCGTGGATTTAAACGAGCCTTTGGTTTAGTCAAGATGTGAAGAGGACCTGAAGATGTCGTGTCAGAGCCCTGGGGACGAGAGGAGGTCACGCTGGGGTTCTCAGGGGTGGGTTGTGCTCCTCCTGTGGCTTAACTAAGATCCATCCAGTGTGGCTCTGGGCTGTAAGCCCTGCCCTGAGCCAGGCTTAGCTTTGCTGAACTCTCTGGAAGCACACAGCCCTCAGCAGATGGAAGGAGCAGGATGGGGAATCAGCTTCTCAGAGCACGGGCCTGTTGCTTCTTCAGCATTTGCAGCATGGAAGCAAATCCAAGGATTTGGAGGAGAAGCAGCTCCTCAGGCAGTGGCAGGATTTGGGCTGCAGGTTGATGGGTGTTTCCTTGGGTGACAGCAGCAATTTAAGCAGGTACCATCCCTCATCCCCTGGCACTGTCCCCAGTCAGGGGTTTGCCCACAAAAGCCTCCTTTTCCTATGGCATTCAGATCTGTTTGGGGAATTTTTGTGCTCTTTGACCCCCCTGAGCCCAGGCAGACCTGAGTGTACCTCCCTAAGTCCACACTGGGTGCTCTGTGGGTGGATTTAAACCTTGCTAGTATGAGGATTTCTATCTCAAGGTTGTCTGACAGGGAGTTGAATTCCAGTGGAGAAATAGAAATAATTTCTTTGTTGGTATTACTTGGTTGGAGACTTTTTCAGGGGAAGCTTGAGATAATGGCAGTTTTGGAGGATTGGTTTTTTTTTCCTGACAGAAAACTTTGACTGTGGATTTCCCCCACACTTGTTTAGAAGAACCTGTAAAAAATGCTGCATCTGTATGCAGCTCCTATTTCAAATGCTTATTTAAAATTAAACCTTTTGTCTTTCATTCTGTCCCTATGCTTGGGGGTTTATTTTTTCCTGATGTAGCCAAATGTGCCAACTTCCTCAGCATGCAGGGGTGTCCCGAGGGCTCTGACGTGGCTTTGCTGTGTTGTGGAAGTTGATTGCAGACCATTGAAAGGAAAATGGGTGAAACTGCGGGCATTGTCCGTATGGATTCCTGGAGGAGTGGCTGCTGAGCTGCTCTCAGGATTAAACCTCTCTGATCCTGAGGGCAGGGGAAGGCAGCTGGCACCCCTGGGAGCTGCTCCCACCGCCAGCTGGTGTCATTTGGAAGGTGACAGAATGCTGGAGTGGTTTGGCTGGGAAGGGACCTCAAAGCCCACCCAGTGCCATGGGCAGGGACTCCTTGCACTGTCCAGGCTGGCCTTGGACTCTTCAGGGATCCAGGGGCAGCCCCAGCTGCTCTGGGCACCCTGTGCCAGGGCCTCATCTCCCTCCCAGGGAAGGGTTTCTTCCCAGGAAGTTCTTGTTCTGCTGTAGCTGCTCCTGTCAGTGTCTTTGTGTGAGTCATGTAAGAAATCTCATGCCCCAGAGGTTTCTGTTAGGGTCATTTCTTCAAGAGATTTATTTTGCTTTCAAACACTTCTTTATGTGTTTATCCTTACAGGACAACATGCAGATGGTTGCACACAATCTTTCTACTTCCATTGGAGCTGATGGTTTACATGTTGCTGGAAAATCTATTTATATCAAGTGTTATTTATGAGGCCTCAGTGGTCATGACATGGCCTGACGACAGTTACCATGGGGGTTATTTTACTTAAAAGCTGCAGGAAGACAATATTGACAGACAGGATGAGTAAGAGACAAGCATCCTGATGCAGTGAAGGCAGGAGTAAAATAAATCATTACAAATGAAAGTTCTTGCTGTGTTCTCCAGCCTTCCCGGGGGTGAAGTGTGTTCAGGCACAGCCAGCTTCGTGGGGTGCATGAAATATTTCTGTCACTGCTTGGGGATCACATTTGCTTTATGGGCACATGTTTTTAGTTGTTACGAGCTGTCTCAGGACAGGGTTTCTTTGATGGCAGGAAAGAAATCTGATGATATTTGGCTGTTTTCAGGTTGTGGGAAGGAAATGTTTGCCGCCTGGATGTTTTTCTGTTGGAGATGAATCTACAGGGGGATTTCTTGCCATGGTAATTTGGCCCGGAAAGGAGCAGAGCTACTTCCTTGGAAAGGCACTTGGGGTGTTGAGACATCGCTGGCACTCGGTGGGGAAAGAGAGGAGGAGGGAGAGCTGGACTTGTAGCTCCTGTTGTAATTCCATCCCTTCCACTCGAGTTCATCTCGGCCGGGAAGGTGTTTTGGGAATTCTCGACACAGCTCCCGGGTTTCTCCAGAGGAGCTGAGTTTGGGTTTTGTGGTCCCCACTGTTGTCACCTGTGAGTCACCCTGGGAGCTGTGGCTGTCCCCTTGGCCCCGGGGCAGGGCTGGGCTTTGGTGGCTTTGGGAAGGATGGATTGGCACCAGGCTGTGCCCAGGGGCTCCCGAAGCTCCTCCAAGGTTTGGGTGTCTCCCTCCTGGGATGAAAGGCTCTGTGTTCCCATCCCGCAGCTCCGTTTGATTGCTGGGGAATGGCTGGGCTCGAGGTAACTGTAAAACTAGTATTTTAATGAGTTTGTAATTAGAGATTCAATGATCTGAATCTCCCCGTGTCTCAGCTCTCAGGCCAGAAGATGCAAGTGCTGGTTAAGGAGGGGACAGGGAATGCACTCAACATCCAAGTGTCTGCCCTGACTTATTTCATTTTAATATTACTTTTAAATAGCAGCTTCAAGCGAGAATAAACTTAACCCTGATTTGCTGACAGGGAATTTTCAGAGTTCCTTCTCAACACATTCAAGCAACCAGAACATTTTATTATTCCCCCAAAATGTACATTACTAAGCAGTAATAAATCGATGTGTGTTTCTAAGAGTGTCCCAGGCACCTTGGGGGATGGCATGGCTGGATTTTGGAGACTGATACATCTCTGTCCTCTGAACCAGGAATGTTTTGATCTTGGACTTGGCGTCAGCAAAGTTCCTGAGCAAACAAGCTTTGTCTGATAATTGTATTTTTAGGAGCAGAGGAGTCCAGTTGTTGTGGTGAAGGAGCTGTTGTCCCACAGTACCTGGGGGTATCTGAACTTCCCAAGCTCTGGAAACAACAACTGACCTGGTTTCTGTGTGTTTGGGTTAG